TTGTCTGAGCCATGACTGGGTTCTCCTGCTTGTGCAGCAGAGTGCAGTGTCCTGTTGCCAGACATAGGTTCTTCCAGCAGACACCCTCTTGACACAGGTCAGCACTACCTCCTCAAGGTACTTGATGTAGGTCTCTGTGTTGTGTCTGAGGCTCTGTGGGAAGATGATGTTGACCATGATATTGACTGGATATATCATCTAACTCTTTCCATATCCTCTGCACTGTCCTCAGATTGTTACCCAAACACTCTGAAATGTTCATATTGGAGCTTCCAGTGATAATGTGAAGCAGTACAGCATGCTGTTTCCAAGTTTCTGGTAGAGTGAATTGCAACATGGTGCTCTTTTTCTCACAGACAGGGCCAAACTGTCCCTACTCTATACTGTGCAGTTGACAAAATCAAAAACAAATAATGTGCATGAGCAAAATTATTAATATAAAACGGCGACAATTTACCCATCGCACTGTGTGTGTGTGTGTGTAAATACCCCCCCCCCCAGATGTAACAGCAAAATTGTCCAATTGTTAGATTACACTCTGAACTGTTGTATCTTAGAAATGATTAAAGATATCTTACTGGAATTCTCTGAGGTTTTTATAACACTATTGGGCTCTATTTTGAGCAGTAAGTACGTATGATTATTCTCTAAGCTTAACAGAAATATCGTGATGAAATTGATCATAAATGAAAATGACATGTTCATCATTAATCATAACTAATGATAGGAAGCTCATGAAGGATTGAAATAAAGTTCATATATATATATATATATATATATATATATATTATTCCACGATCATTTTTCCAACTTATTCAAGATGATCTTTGCCCTCTCTAATCTTCTAACTTCCTGTCCTGTAACAAGGTGCCCCACAGGTTTCATATATGATTTCATTTTCAAGTCTTTTTTTCAATCATTTTTGGACTGTCATTGCTGAAACTCTTCACTTAGGTGCCAAACGTCTTATGGATTGAGTTGGATCTTTCCTAATTGATCTCTTTCGCTCTAATTTGAAATGATGATCCCTCTTCCTGTTGTGACCTCCTGATCCAATTTTCATCTCTACTGCTTCCTCTTTTTTAAACTTATTCACCATTCTCTTAATGGTTCTTGAATGGAGTTTGAAGATGTAAGCTAGATTATGAATTACTGAAGGACTGAATGATCTTTTTCCTCTTAGCATTGCTCAGTTGGGAACAATTTTAACCTACCCTTTTTAGCTGAAGAACTCAAATGGTTTTTCAGTGATTCTTACGAAAAATGGTGTCAAGATGGCTAAACATCTTATCCGAAAACCTGAAAAAAGAAACTCAATTAGTTTAGTGTTTTTTTTTTTTTTTTTTTTTTTTTTTGTTTGATATTAAACATTTTATGGGATGGATAATTATGCTGTAAAAGGATTTGGGCAATTTTGCTGTTACGCACTGTATATAGCATACTTCCTTTTTATCTGTATATTATTATTTTCAATTCATTTATCTTTGCTTTCATGACTTTGAACAAATTGAAGTAATGGGTGGCACAATAGTTAATAGCATGAAGAATGGAATCTTTGAAATGAATTCAAATTCTGGTTGAGATGTTTTATGTTCACTTCATACTAATATTTGGGAAAGGCATGAATCTACTTTCCCTCCTCTGTATGTATAAATAGTAAAGCTCTGTATATCAGGCTAGCTAACTGGATCCCTGAAATTTAATTTGCTACTGAAGCTTCAACAGCATTTTTAGGTGAGGTTGTAGTCCTCTGCTCCGCAAAGGATCTGCAGGTATTAAGAAATAAATTTGACAAATGAAGTTGTAAATTTTATTGGCCTACTTTTTCAGGTGTTAAATGTTGCTTAAATATATGAAATTAATCTTTATCTAAACATTGGTTTTAAAAAAAAAATAGAAATCTTTGATTGTACTGTCTGCCACATTTGTTCAAACAAACTGACATTTTTGTTTTCTGTCTACAGTTACATAATGTTAATGATAAAAATGTGTTTTTTGGTTTTGTTAATAAACTAAAACAATTTACAGCTAATGTCTGCTTCAGTCAACTGCAGTAGCAGTCAATACATGCCATTGGTATCAACCAAAAGTTCCAGAATATTATTCTGGCAGATTACTCTCCTTTTCATGGTTAAAGTACACCTTCTCCAGCCTGTGTTCACTATTCAATAAGGACTAGAGCCTTATTTGGATCAATAAACTCTTTTTGAACAGGGACTCTCTGAGTAACTGTTTTAGCTTACCTCTTGTAAATTAGATAGTACCATTTTGTGGACATTACAGCTATTGAGATATGATTGTTCATGAGTAGTTTGCACTTGAAAAATAATTTTACTGTGTTAAGTGGTCATGATTTTCACTTATTTGATGCTTGTATTGGAAATCTCAGATGTCTTAACTGCCAAACTGCTGCTCTGATGCTCATCCATTAATGCCTATAATAAAATCCACTATTACAGAAATTAAAATAAATCCAGTATTAATTATAGATATCTACCTATAACTTATTAATACCCACCATAAAATCCAGTATTAACTATTGGATCTACCTATAACCCAGTCATGCTCATAAAATCAAGTATTAATTATAAGTTTCTTCCTATACCCCCACTAATACCCACTGTTCCATTTTTGGGATAGTAGAAATTAAAATGTTAACTCATTTTTAAAATTTATTTATTTTTTTTTTTTTAAATTCATATTTTTGTGTGGTAATTGACTGTCATTTGGAATAGATACTTACCTTTTTTCACCTGTCAGTCTACCACTATTTGTCACTCACAGGATATACGGAAGGCAGGAGGGGACATAAGAAAGCAACAAGTAACTTAGCTAATGAGCTTGTGTTAAAGTATGGCAGAACAGAGATTAAGAATATCTATCTATATTTCTGTATTGTAACTAATTACACTATTTACATTGTTTGGGCTGTTGTCCTCATCTTTGTCATATTCACAGTGTTTTGGCCATTGTACACTCTGACCTTCTTCAGATGATTGAAGAATTGCATTTTTAAAGGGAAATAACTGATAACTGAGATATCTGGAAGAGGCATAGCACATGGAACTAGAACAATATACTCTTGTGAACAAAATAAAGGGTTTGGTTTGAAATTTTGATCACCTGAAGAAGGCTGGAGCATATAATGGCCGAAACATCATGAATGTGACGACAAAGATGAGAACAATGTAAAAAGTGTAAATAAAGTTTATGGAGAGCAAAAAGACAGTTACAAAGAATAGAAAGCTGTATAGAGACATGATCACCCATGTTCTGAAGGGAGATGGCATATAGAAGAAAGGATATTAAAGGCATAATGTAAATGCATTGCAAATACATTTATTAATGAATCCCATTGCTTATGAGCAAAAAAAAGCATTGTCAGTGGTCAGGAATAAAGGAAAACTTTACTGACAAGATAGGACTCTTACATGCATAATGTAAATGAATTGCTAATGCTGAGAAAAGAGATTGTTAGTGGTCAGGAATAAACTTAAGCTTCATTGCTATAGAGACTTGGCATATATATATGCCAAATGTATTGCTGTTGAAACCTAGGCAATGTGTTGGAAAATAGACACTACCACAAATTTCTACTTGACAAAAAGGAAGTTTGTATCAATAGACAGATACCCCAGCCCCTACCTTGATTTGACAGCTACAATACATTAGATATACAAGTTTTCTAAATAAGTTAAATCTTAACACCCCTAAAATAAAAAAAGATGGAATTTTCCTTAACCCCAACATCTCAAAATATCAAATTTGTCTGGACTTATAAATTAAGTAAATCAATTTCTAAAAAGTTATTTTTAGCATTGCTTGATAATGGAATGGAACTTTGTATTTTAAGTTTAATTTTTATGATTGAATTTGAATTGAAGTTTCAGTTTTGAAACATGGGAAATCAGGTGTTGCAATGATTATATATTTTTTAAAAAACAATTATAATTTTATGCTCTATGGTTGTATTGAACACTGTTTTTTAAAAATTAAATTATATATGAGAGAGAGAGAGAGAGGTCTCTTGACTTTGACAATAAGATCTATAAGCAGGGCTGAACTTGAAGGAAGTTGTAGAGTTCAATGTTGGGATGGCAAAAATGTCCACAATGGAGTCAAGGAAACTGGCCTCATGGTTTAGGTGCCTCTTCTTTTGTGCATGAGCCTTATTGACACTCTCACATCGGTTGTCCTTAAATGTCTCTGTTGCTTCACACGTCAGCTCACATCATTCAATTTGATCCTGTGAGTACTATTCAAGCCGCTTGGGGGCTATTTCAATGTGGGCAATGTTGGCCTTGATGCAGTCTTTGATATATATTCACTTGTACAGACCACAAACATCATGTCACTAATTTCAAAGAAATATACTTTTAACCATTATCTTAATTAATTGTTCCTTGATAATGGCTAAAGATATAGCTGAAACCACTTGGAAAAAAATAAAACATTTGGACAGTTTTTGTATAATTTATCTATGGAAAAGAAAAAAAAAAGATCATAGAAATTTATATAAAAACTTATCAAAGTACCTTGTCTATCATATTTAATGAAGCTTGCATATATAAGATCACCTATTAAATAGAAAACACTGATTCTTATTTCTGAGCAAAGAGCTTTTTCTCTGAATTCTAATTCTTCTGCTTGTAAAATCAGCTATATTCAGAGCTTATAAATAGCTACTACTCTATAACCTTGGCTCTTATGTATTGTGAATCTATTGAATTTTCTCTAATATATATTTTTTTTAAATGTCAATGTGCCTTGAACACTGGCAAATATAAAACTGTTGAGTTTATACAGACATGTTCAGGAGTCAATCAATCCTTTTTATCATATGTTAATATCCTGATTCCACCCAACCCTAGCAAAAGGGGAAAAAAACAAAAAACAAAAAAACTAGGCTGGGTGTTGTAAGTTTTTTTTTCTTTTTTTTTTTCTCCCTTTAATAATCAATCAGTGCTGTCATTTACAATCCTTGCTGATTGATTCTCTAAATGCAACTAACTTTTATTCATATTTACTTGTATAAAAGCAAAGAATACTTCTCTGACACAAAAATACACATTTTCATTTCATTTACAATTACTTTCTTTATTTTGCTTCAAATCTTTTTTTCTTTCCTTTCCTTCGTTGCCGTTCTTCCCTCCTTTCCTTCGTTGCCGTTCTTCCCTCCTTTCCTTCGTTGCCGTTCTTCCCTCCTTTCCTTCGTTGCCGTTCTTCCCTCCTTTCCTTCGTTGCCGTTCTTCCCTCCTTTGGAATCATTTCTTTTTTTCTTCTTCATGGTTTGGTGTCATTTCTTCTCTTTTTTTCTTCTTTGGTTTCATTTCTTTCTTCATTATTGTCTTTCTTCCACCCTTTGCTTCTTCACTGGTTTTCCTTTTCTTTTTTTTTCTATTTATTCTTCATACTCTTTTTCTTTTTTTTCATCACTGACTTTTTTTTATGGCTTTTACTTTTTTCCAATTTTTCACAAATTAAATTACACTGTTCTTGAATATCTTTTTCAAGACCTGGTTTCGCTTAGATTCCATTCAAAAATGATTTAAGAAATACACAAATATCTTGAACTACAATTTATCTTTTTTTTTTTTTTTTTTTTTTTTTTTTTTTTTTGTATACTTTTACTTCTGAGATTATTTTGTGTACAATTAAAAATCTTCACTCATTTTTCATTTTTAATGATTTTTTTTTTTTTTGGCTTTCGTTTTTTTTCAGTTTTATTTTGCTTATTTAATTTTCTCGTCATTTAAACTTCTTATTGCTCTTTACTTTCGTCTTTTTTTCCCCAGCATTTATTTGTTTTTCTATTCCACCTCTTGTTAATGTTGCTATAAAATGCACTTTTTACTATCATATCGTATAAAAGGACTCCATTTGAAAAGTTAAAACAACTAATAGTTTTCCAACAAGGAAATTATAGCAAACTGACTGATCTTTATCCCAGCACCAAAAACTGGATCTCTCTTTTTTCATTAGTCTTTTCCATCAGTTGTTGTCACATGACTAAAAGTAACCACACATTTATACTTGAAATTGTTCACATCGGAAGTATGACCTTGTGACATAGATAAGTGGATGTGTTTGACTTACTTATTCACTTGTCATTTAAAATTCATCTGTGATATAAGTAAGCAATTATCAGTAGTTATTTACAATCTCAGTCTACGTGAATGAATATTACAGGACCATTCAGGCATGTTGGAAATACTGAACATCTTTTCGTATATTTTTGGGCTTTTTTTTTTTTTTTTTTTTTCAAAGTAATGTTTTCAGTCAAGAGTAAATGTTGTGATTGTACAAGTTCAGATACAACAAAGATTAAAATAAATGTTGAAATTGATATACAGAAGAATCGTCTTCAGAATTGAATCAAGGTTATGTTTCAATATCTGTCTATATTTCTGAGATATTATGATTACTTACATTATTTACACTATTCAGACTGTTATCCTCAATCTTTATTGCCATATTCACGACGTTTCGACTGTTGTACGCTCATACCTTCTTCAGGTGATTGGAATTTCGAACTGAACCCTTTATTTCATCCACCGGAGTAGATTGTTCTAGTTCCACATGCCATGCCTCTTCTGGATGTTTCAGTTATTTCCCTTTAACTCAACTCTCCAAGTTTTGGTTCACCACTGCTGTAGCCTGGTATTGAACTCACAACTCTTTGGGTCTAGTCACTGGATCTAACCAACACCTTTATCCCCATTCCACCATCCATTCACACAAGCTCGTTAGGTAAAAGACTCTCTGCCCCCCCCATCTCCCTTGATCTCAATATGCTCCATGAGAATTAAGTTTTCCAAGCCTTCCTTGCTCATTATTTCAGCTGTTCTGATTCTGAATATAAGTGAGTTCTTTCTGTTGCCATTTTCTTTTAGACTTCCTTATTGCTTATTTGTTCCATCCATTGAATTTTTCAGCATCTTTTTTGTAGAACCTTATTTCTGCTGCTTCTAGTTTTTTTCCCTTCATCCTTGGGGAAATTGTTCAACATTCACTGTCATTTAAGTGGATGGATACCACATACCCATCCAAGGTGTATAATATTTTGACACTGTTATAGGCCTTTTTTACAGATGCCGTCATAATGCATTGTAGACTCTAAACAACCCTTAAGTAATTTTAAATGCCCGTCATCATCCTCGGCTTTACTCAAATTGTTTAACACTCTTCCTGTTTCCTCTACTCGTGAGAATAAGGGATTTGGAGGGGCCTCACAAGTGGAATAGCCTAGGGCTTCTCTTTATCTAAATCCAGTCCTGAACATAGCACTCTTTTCTTGGTTTCTTAGTAAATTCAAAAATATATTTGTAGTTTTTCTTAAAAAATAAAAGCATGTTGTTTAGTATGTAAGTGTTTACATTTTTGTTATTATTTAATGAAGGATTGTCAGTTATTAATTTTTCATTTGATTTCATTTCTTCTATTACAACTACTCAGATTGTAATTCAATGGCTGTTCATAAATGATACAGATATAAAACCAAGAATAAAATGTAGGTGAGACATGTCTCTTTTACCTGAATTTTCTTTTAACTCTCATACAAAATTATTGCACAAGCAATCCTTTATGTTGATTGTAACTGCACCTATCCAAGACTGACTGATTCATTTTCTATGACTTATCAATCCTTTGCAGGTTATTTAAAGCCAGAAAATATTTTAGATTGAAAAAAAAATTGTTGTGGAGTTAATGATTCAGTGATACAAATTTTACTAATTAACCTATATCTGGGGAGAGAAGTGGATTCATACCTTTCCCAAGGGTATTTGTGCATAAGTGAATATAACAAACCCAATTAGAAGAGGAACTCTGCTATCTGATTAACAATTCCAAGCCATTATCTATTACGCCAGCTACAAATTCAAGCTTACAGCACCGGATATTCCACCAATCCCTTATGTTATCTCCCAAGTAATGTTTTTACTTAATAGTAAAATGGAATTTTGAACTCAACCCTTTATTATTTTGTCCACCGGAGTAGATTGTTCTAGTTCCACATGCCATTTACATTTTTTTTTAATTATTTTTTTGTAGATAACAATTTCAAGTTTTTTTATTTAGTAGCAGTAACCCATCTAGATACTGACTAGGCTTGACATTGTTTAATTTGGTGATCAGGTGTTTCAAAATGATGTGGCCATAAGCCCTGTCTGACGCTAAGTTCTCCAATTGAAGGAGAGATGCTGGATTTGGACCTTCATGCCTGAGAAAAAGAAACAGTGTCAAAAGGACAATTTTTCCATTGACACTGCTATTATTTTAACTACTCTCCATCCTCAAAAACATTTGTTGTTTTAAAAACCAATAATTAGAATTGCAATAAAATATAAGCATATGATCAAAGTGAATTTATACATCATTTTTGTTGTAAATTTTTGTTTATTTGCAAGAATAATTTTATATTTACAACATTCTAAAAACCAATACAATTAAAACTAATAAAAAGCAATATTTATCATTTACAAATTTATAAAGAAATAAATGTGAAAGCAATATTTTATTCATAAATTTCTAAACATTTACTAAATGATGAAAAATGTCAACTATAGAGAAATCCTTATTAACCATTTTATAAAGTTTGAATCACTTGGCAATTAGCCAATGTTTTGCCATCCATTCTAATAAACAATCTAATAAATAGTGTTTATTATTTTTGTTGTCATTTCTCAAGAACAACAAAAATGTATAAATTAACTTTCATATAAGTTTTATTACAATTCTGATTTTTAAAAAGAATAAACATTGCTGAGGAGTGAAGGTAGTTAAAATAATAGCAGTGTCAAGGGAAAAACAGTCCTTTTGATACTTTTTTTTTTTTTTTTTTTATCTTTGTGGGGATAAAGGTCCAAGTTTGCCAAATATTGATATTTGCAAATCTTTGGGCAGCTGCCTTTTCTTGTTCTGATGTTCCAAATTCTTTCTCATTGATGTTTCTTTAGGTAGCCCCATTCTGTGTCCTATGGAGGTGAATCATCATCTTTTGATAGTTTTGTTCCAAAGTTCACATTTTGTCTTGGAGGATAAGTCTTCATTTGAGATCTTGAGAGACCAATGGATATTGAGGATAATTCTAATTTTCTCTTGAAAGCACAATATTTTTTCTAATCTGTACTGCTAAGTTCCCAGAGTTCAGAGTTGTAGTTCGCTGAACAAATAAATGGCTGGAAGCTAAAGGTCACTATTTTGAGCCTCTCTTATGATTGTAGATTTCAAAATTAGCTTGTATTAATCTCAGAATAACTGAATAAATTTACTATTGCAATATGCATTCAAATTTTTCCTTTCCTTGTATACATTTTTTTTTTTTTTTTTTTTTTTTTTTGGCCAACTTATATATATATATATATATATATATATATATATATATATATATAAATAAAATCTCTATATTTTTGAGAAGAGGTATTATGATTATTTACATTATTTAGACTGTTATCCTCATCTTCATTGCCATATTCACAACGTTTTAGCCGTTGCATGCTCTGGCCTTCTTCAGGTGATTGGAATTTTGAGCCAAACCCTTTATTTAGTCCATTGGGGTAGATTGTTCTAGTTTCATGTGCCATGCCTCTTCCGGATTGTCCTCAAGGATGCATGGCCCAGTGGATAAAGACGTTGGTTAGATCCAGTGATGAGAACCAAAGAGTTGTGTGTTCAATACCATGCTACGACAGTGTAAAGTTTATCTTTCTTCTTTCTTTTCATAATGTGTGTGTGTGTGTGTGTGTGTGTGTGCACTCATGTAGCCACCTGTGCACATGTAGAATGTTCAAGTTATTTCTCCTTTTCGTCATATTTCTTGTCACTTGATGCTCTCTCCCCATTGGTTTTATACTTTTCTCTTTTTTCACATCTTTATAATAAATGCAGATATCAGTGTGTCACTATATCACACTTTTTCAGCTTTACTCCTAGAGGCTGTAGTCCAACATATCATACCATTTTGAAATTAGGCCAACTCCATGATCAAATTAAAAACATTCGCAGTCCGATCTGGATCCATAATCCTGAAATTTTGGATTCCCAAGTTTTCATTACTGTGATTGTTTTTGGTGAAAATTTCTTTTGTCCGTGTGAGTGTGAAAAATATTTTTGTAGATAACAATTTTTATAACTTGGAAATAAATTTAGGAATAATCGAATTTAATTGCAAAATCCAACAATAGTCAGCCATGAAAATTGTTTGTACAGAGAGTAAGGACCTATGTACATCAAATTGTATTTAAAATAAGTAGCAGCAGAAGAATTATTGTTGAACTTTTAAAAGATA